CCATACACAATTTTTTATTTTTTTTTAAAAAAGGAAGTGTTCCTAAATAGGGAACAAGAGCTGCACCTTTAATAGAGTAGTGGTAGGATAGAGTGGTTACAACATAATGACACTTTTAGAACTTTTTTTTTTTTTGGGAAGAGGTGCATGCTTCCTTAAATCAGTCAATGTTAACTTTTACAAGAACATCTTGCTAAGAGATCTGGTGGATTCTTCCTCAGCTTGGTTCCAGGGGATGCATTTCTAGAAGATAACTTGTCATTGAACTTCATTATAGCAGGCTCACTGCAGGAATTGTGTAGTTCTAAAGCATATGTCAGACTAGATCAGGGGTTCCCAAACTGGGGGTTAGGACCCCTCAGGGAGTCACAGGGTTATTACGTGGGGGTTGCGAGCTGTCAGCCTCCAACCCAAACCCTGCTTTGTCTCCAGCATTTATAATGGTGTTAAATATATAAACAAGTGATTTTAGTTTATAATGGGGGTGTCATACTCAGAAGCTTGCTCTGTGAAAGGGGTCACCAGTACAAAAGTCTGAGAACCACTGGAGTAGATCAGAATGGCCTCCTCAAGGCTGAATCTAGTGGACTTTGATAAAACTCTTTGCTATCCCAGCCACTCCAGGCCTCCCAGTTTCTCTAAGCACAGCACAGCCGATCATCAATTACACTGAAAATCCACTTAGGATCTCCTTATTTAACATGCCAACATTCTTCAGGAATGACCACATTCCTGCTTAGGATGTCAGCACATGGCCTTGGGATGATATGTTGTTTTCTTGTTGACTTCACTGCAGAGCACGAAGGGTGGGGGCAGGGGGAAGAGGAGTTAAGAGTCCCAACAGGATGGACCTTGGATCAGTCAGTTATTTGTTGTCACTGCACTTTAATAGGGCCAGCCCCCTCCAGCCAGGAAGATAAGTCACAAGCTCAAGGTACAAAAGTTCCCTGGCATCCGCTAGACCTAGCTCGGCCTGAAACAGATCTCCCCTTCTCTGTCCCATGCCTGCTATATCAAACCTAGTGGCAGGAAAAGAGGGCTGGGTGGGAGCAGGGGAAGGAGCAGTTGGAGCGAGATGAGCCAAGGGTGATTTTGGACACTGCTTCTGTGGCTAAATAGCTTTCCTTCTTCTTGAGGAGGCTGCAGCCAGCGCTAGCCCAAAACAGAAGATTGCTGCTGTTAGAGAATGACAGCCACAGGAGGCCCTGCTTCAACACCAGAGGAACTTCAGATGGCTGCTCCGAAGACCAGAGACTGGTTTGTAAGAGAGCAGTGCAGGGCTAATATATCAATAACTAGTCCCATAAGCAAAGGCATGAGAACAGGCAGAATCCAGACCTACCTTTAAGCCCCTCAAATGAGGAAGAGGATACAGCTCAGCAGCCTTCCTCTTGCATCACTGGTTTCTATTACATGGATGTCTTTACAGGCAAAAAGGAAGTCTTTAGCTAACCCTGTTGTAGTGGAGCTAGGGCCCACAAAACGCTTATCACAATCTTTAGGCACCAGTTTCCACAGTCCAAGAATCAATTAAGGTGCCACAGACTTTAACCAATTCGAAGTGAACATGTGCACAACTTTCCCTCGCTGCTCCCTGCACACCTGACACCCTTGGGTGAATTCACCTACAATTAAATTAGCAGATGACACTAACATTAGTGGGATAAACACAGACAACCAAGCTGCAAAGTGATCTGGAGAGATTAGGGCAGCCCTGCACCCAGCGGGGGGAAGAAGCCTAGCACAGATACACCCCAAATCATTCTATAACCAAGCAACGCATCCACTGAGTGAGAGCACTAGATTTTAGTCTCATCCTGTCCATGCCACTCCACCCTATCCTTTTAGCAAGCCGAGCACTACAGTTGGCTCAGGGAACTTGTGGCATCAGGTTTGTGCCCTGCTCCAAGATATTTGAGCCCCACTGATTTCAATGGATGTCAGGAATTGAGAGATCTGGGCCTGGATCCCTATTTAGCTGGTTAGGGTCTCAACTCTTTCAGCATGAACTGATGTAACCTCTACCTCCAATTGTTTGTGCCTTATGTTCCATTCCTAAGCACAGTTCCAGCATGTGGCACCCTGCCCCTGCAATTGATATCTGGAGTCTTACAAGGGTTGCACCAGGGCAGGCCTGGACACTTTGAGGTGCTACTTTTCCACAGCTCCAGAGACCGTTTTCTGAACAAAAGCTCAAGTGTTCAACTGTTGGTCAACAGCAGAGTGGGCTGAAAGTGTGAGGAGCAGTTACCAGTAGGTTTCACCCATCTCCTCATCAGATCTATCTGTCAGCTTTTTACACCAATAAGTGATCTGTAGCATCCAAAGTGCCTGGGGGGCAGGGAGGAGAGGAATTACATATTTCTGGTTTGCATCTTTCACCCCTCTACCCCTTCCCCATCACCAGTCCTTTGAACTGCCCATTCCCTGCTTTTTGTTATTGTGCCAAATAGATTGTGACATCCCCCCCCCCCAATAAATAAATAAAATATCCAGCACCAGTTTAACAAAACAGGCGAAATGTGGACACTTAATCTAGTCAAAATACTCTTACCTGTACGGACGGGGAGAAAGTGAGCATGGGGTTTTCGAGGAATCAGTGGGGTAGATCTTCCCCCTCGCTACACTTGTGTAGGGAAAGATATTTATCATTGTCTTCTCAGGCTGGACAGAGGGGGGATCCTCTCACTTCCTTGGACAACCAGACTGGGGATTTTTCTGGAGTAGGGGTATGAAATGATCTCCTTCACTCCATCCACAAGCTCAAGGCTAGTGGAGCGGAGCTGCTGGTCAGCATTCCCACTCTGCATCCAAGCCTGCGCTGTAGGAAAGCCCTGAGCAAGCAGAACCTCCTGCTCACACCAGCAGGGCTCAAGACTCCCAGGCCAGCAGTAAAATATCCTCCCGCTAGGAGACAAATGTAGGTTCAAAGGCAGATCTGACTGTGAACGAGAACCATAAGGGAATGTTGGAGGTGACCGCCACTGAATGGTGGAGAGTTGACAGCCCTGATTTGACTACACAGATGCCTGTCAGAGCATCGCATGGAACAACGGCATTTTAGACAGCTCAGGAAAGGGAGGGAGAACTGCACATTCTGGGACATAAGACCATTTCCACGTGTCTCTGTATTCAGGGCCCCCACAGCTGATCTCCAAGTTCAGGTCTTACCTGGTTTTGTTTTTGCAGCCAGCACAGGGGCTGTTATAGCAGGACCCAAGAGAAATGTCTGCAGGAAAGTGAAAACTGGTTCTTCCCATCAGCTGGTGCTAGGAAGCCCAAATCCACCTGGCCCCCTGCCCTCCATACCATCGCTTTCTGGCTGCAGCATTTAAGAAGGCAGGAAGGTAGAGCTGAATGGGTCAAACAGCAAGAAGCAGAACAATAACTCACTCACAAAGGGCTTCCTCCATTGCGGCCTGGCTGCCCCATGGGCCAACTGGGATGCCTGTTCCCGTGTAGCTGTGCTAAGACTTGGCGATGCATGTGGGCACGTGTACAGCACGTTCTAGCTTTGAAGCAGGATTTAGATGATATTACGTAGGTGAGGGGGCCAGCAGCAGAGGAGGGCAGGAAGTCAAGTCAACACACACGCCCCCAGCAGCTAGCTCACAATCTAGTCACCACCTGCCTGCCAGATTCTAGGTATGCTAGAAGAGAGCCCCGCTCCTCAGGCACAAATCTGCAACCCAGCCTCCCACTTCGCCAGGTCTGGTTGGAGGCCCCCCTGCGAAGGTTAAGGCTGCTGTGGAGAGGGACAGTCCTGCTCCATGAGGACACAACCTCCAATCCAATAATTATAATAGATTCCCCTCAGATAGCTGAAGATTTTATTAAGTTAAACTATTAACTGTGCGGAAGGGCAGCCGCCGCCTTCATTGTTTGGCTCCGGCGGATGCAGCAGTGGCGCGTGCAGAGTCCCCCGGCTCCTCCTCAGGAGTGTGTTAGCAAGAGGCAGGCTCTTCCAAAACCTCCAGGGGACTGGCCTTGCCCTGGGACAGAGACATGGCCCACGGGTACCGAAACCTCCCTTCAATACAGTCCACAGAGCGAGAGCACAGTCCCCAACAACTTGAGCACGCTCTGTCCAACATCTCAGCTTTCAGGGATCCAGGGGAACGTGTGCAGGACATTGGTTCTCTCGTATGGCTAGCCACCGTCTGTCTCGGTGCATTGTCCTTCCAGCACATCCAAATAGGCTGGAGGAGTGGGGAGAAGGCCACTCACGACCCCATAGACGCACCCCACAAGGAGCACTCGAGGCAGGGGCAACAGCTGTTTTTCTTCGGTCTTCAGCTGCTGGTTAAAAGATATTGTAGATTTAAAATATTCCCCACCCACAAAACAAAAAAAAGTGAAGTATCTATAAAATATATTTTTTCACATATAAAATCCTGAAGAAGGTGCACGTAGGAGTCAGTCCAAACGATGTGCTCAGATACGCAGGCGCATGGGATGGGGATTGGTGAAAGACATGGGAGCTGGTTTCCTCGAGGGGGTGCCAATGGATGGGATGCAGCCACCACCTCCCCACAAGTGAGGAATCAAGCAAAACAAACCTAAGGAGGAAATAAGAGTCACGGCAAATGGTTTAAAAGACTTCAGAGTTGCTGAGCCCCAGAACTCTGGGGCTTCCCCAAATCCAGGAGAAGGTCATTTGTACCCCAAGATGCCAGCTAGTGACGCTG